TGGCTCACAGCCATCTGTAATGAAATCTGGTGCCCTCTTCTGGCCCACAGCGATACATGCAGGCAGAATATTGTATATATAATAAATAAATAAATCTTTTTAAAAAAAAGAGAAAAGAAAAGAAAAGAAAAGAAAAGAAAAGAAAAGAAAGGGCAGCAGAGTGCAAAGACCTGGTTCCGAAGTCAGGCATGGTGGTTATCCCAGCACCTAAGATGCTGAGGCAGGAGGATTGCTGGGAGTCTGAAAAACAGCTTGAAGTACATAGCAAGTGCCAGGTTGAGTCAGGGCTACTTAACCAGACCCTGACTCAAATACAAAACAAAACAGTAACAGTGACCTGGGCTCAGACATAAACAACCTGGTCAAGGGACTGGGATGTCACCAGTCATTAGCAGGGTGTCTGCCAAGCACGTGCAAGGCTCTGGGTTCCAGTCCTAGTAGCAAAATGAGGGGGTGGCGGGGATAATTCAGAATGGAGTCTTCTTGAAAATAAAAAAAGATTCCCTTGGCTTTGTCCCACTAGCCCTGGAAACTTCCAACCAGACCTGATTCAGCCCTTCAGGAACGTCTGGCAGTGTGCATGGGCATTTTTATTCGTCCAGATTGTGGAGACCCAACATCAACTGGGCAGACAAGGGATGCTGCTAAAATCCCCCAGCGTTCCAGACAGCCTCACTCTCAGCCCCAGAGACAAAGATCTGGTCAGGAGACGGTCATCGGGCATGCCGAATTCCAGGCTGAAGCTGTGGCTCAGTTGGTAAAGCGCTTGCCTAGCATGTGTGAAGACCTGGGTTTGATCCCCAGTACTGCATAAACTCGGTGTGGCGTTGTCTGTCTGTAATCCCAGTACTCAGGAGGTGGGCCAGAGGATGAGAATTTCGAGGTTACCCTCTGCTACATCGTAAGTTTGAAGACAGCCTGGAATATGTGTGTGTGTGTGTGTGTGTGTGTGTGTGTGTGTGTGTGTATCTGAGTTCAGAAGGTATCACTGCTGTCTGACTAGCCATATTTTCTGTCACTTGGCTCAACAGCTGATGCATGCCTGCTTTCCATGGCCCCCTATGAGTCTTGAAGACTCTGTGAGGGATGGGAAGGGGTGTACTCAGCACCCCATTTAGGCTTCCCATTGTAGATCCCAAAAAGCATAGCCCCTATCTCCTCCCCCATCCTCTTCTTGCTTCTGACCCCCATCTGCTCTTCCAGGTAGCCGCCAAACTCATGGAGAACCCCAAGCTCTCCCCACCCTGAGCTGAGAGTCGGGGAGGTTTACGGACAGCTCCCACAGGACAGGCTTAAAGGCCAGCTATGCTGGCAACCCAAGACACAGGCCTCCTGGGGATTTCCTGGAGACTAAGTGTTTCGGGAGGGAATGAAGCAAGCACTCCTCGGGGTGTGAAACGCTGCACCAATTGCATCCACAATTTATAAGTCTGAGGTTTGGGTTTTGAGCCAGAGGGCAGATTCCTTTCCAGTCGGTCTCCAGTTGCAGCCTCAGCACCCCCGTGTGATGACGAGGGGACACTGCACCCACAGCCTAGACAGCCAGGGAGGGAGCCAGGATGCGTGGGGACCTTGACTCTCCCCACCACACACACACACACACACACACACACACACACAGCCTTAGAGATTAGAAGCCAGGACTCGTGAGATTTCTCTAGCACAAGTGGGAATTGGGAGAATCAATTCCACTTTGACCACACATTCCCAGGGAACCCCAGGTTCCCGACTCCAAGCTAACCATTCCCTCTGTCCTTCTCATTGGGAGCCCTTCCATCAAGCACTCTGTCCCAGTCAGATGCCAGGCAGTCTTCTCGGTTCCTACAAATCACACTGTAAAAGACACTACCTCTTGGCCCACCTGAGTAGGGTGCCAGGTCTCTGCCCCACTCTGGTGTCTATGAACACTGATGAGAAAAATCCAAATGGATGGGCCTTCAGGGGTCCTACGGTGGCGGGGGGGGGGGGGGGGGGGTCCCTGCTTTGCCCTACAGCAGGTCCTTCAAGGGCCAGATCCAAGCCCAGCAGGCAGATGAAGGTAAGAAGGGTGTAAGACCAGAAAGTAGTCCCCAGGTCTGACTCACAACCAGCTTCAGCCCCCAACAGCCCTGTCTGAAAGCCCCTCCCAGGCCCAGAGTTTCTGGTTCTCCAGGGTGCCTCAGCTTCCAGCCTGGGACTGTTGTCCACCCTCCAGGCTTCCCAGAGTGGCCCTGACAAGCAAAGTGGACCCCATCCTAAGCAGCTCTCAAGTCCGAGCCCTCCTCTCCTGCAGGATCCCCCATTACCGGCTCCCATCACACCCATGTTTGAAAAGCACGGGGAGCTATGGGCACAGGTCTTGCACGAGGGAGTGGCTCCAGCCCTTTCCCTTCTGAGTCCCATGCCACATCCTGACACCCGAGACTCTGTCATGGAACCTGAGAAGTGTCCCCTCTGGGCACCATGTTCTGCCCTTCAGTAGCGATGGTGTATTTTGTTATTTCTTCCCCCTGGGGACCTGGAGAAGATCTCGGTCCTTGAACAAATTTGTCTTTCTGTTTGTTACTATGCATCTACGTTCTCTTAAATCACACAACTCAAGTGGGCCAGCATCTGTCTCTCCGGGACGGCTGCCAGTGGAAAGCGCAGCCTCTCCTTCTTCCCACATTGTCACCATAGGATTGGTCCAGCAGGAAGGCACAGAGGCACCAGTTAGTCACTTAAAACATACTGTGTGTCCCTACTGTGTGCTAGGCACTGCTCGGAGTGCCTGAATCTCTACTTTGACCTGTCCCTTCCTGCCTACTTCCCTCTTTCTATAGTGAATCCCTTCCTATAGTGAATGCTTTCAAATGTCACATCCCACTTGAGAATCCACCAAAGTCAGCATTAAGCACTTACTGTATACAAGAGTATCACATTCAAGAGCTGCCTACAGAAAGTTCTACCCCGTTCTTGCCCTCCAACAAACTCTGCACAAATACAAGAAGAGCTTAACCCTGCCAGTTGGTAGAGCACTCGCCCAGCCTGCAGAAGTCCGGAACTCAATCATTAGCATCGGCCATAAAGGCTTGCACCTGTACTGCCAGCACTGCGGGAGCAGTGGCAGGAAGCTCAGAAGCTCAAGGAGGTCATCCTCTGCTACACAGGGAGCCCAGCCTAGGCTACAAGATATCCTGTCCTCCCTCCCCCCAAAAAGGCTGGGTGGTGGTGGTAACACGCGCCTTTAATCCCAGCACTGAGAAGGCAGACTCAGGAGATCTCTGTGAGCTCAAGGTCAGCATGGTCACACGACAGAGTGAGTTCCAGGACAGCTAGTGCAAACTAGAGAGAGCCTGCCTTGAAAAACAGTTTGCCCACACCACTGCCACAAGGCTTACACTGAAGTGGCAGGGTGTGGTATCAGAGCTAAAGGTCTGCCCCAAGTAGAGCTGGAACAGGCTATGACAGGGCATGGTATCATCTGAAGGGACGGCAATGAAATGCCTGCAGACCAGAAACAACCAGGCCCTGGGTTTGACTGAGAAGACGGTTTCTTGAGGAATAGGGAGACAGAAAAGACCAGAAAGGCATCTGCCCAGGAGAGAGGCTGGCGGCAAAGCTGGGCACAGGATTGTGGGATGCCCTGGATCAGGACCGAGCTGCCATGATTCTCAGATTATGTCTGGCCCCCAGACATCTCACCCAAAACCCACCAGCTTCCCAAGAAGACAGGTTTTCCGTTCCGAAACACGGTTCCATTCTTGAAAAAGACTCCTGTGCAATTAGTTTTTCTGCCTTGTATCACTGGGAGGCAGGAACCCCACCAGGATTCCTTCATCCAAAGGGAGGGAGGGAGGGAGAGAGGAGAGAGAGAGGTGTTGAGTCCCAAATAAAACTCCTGGCCAAGTGCGCTTCCTCCTCTGAGGGGGCCACTCCACAATAATAAGTACAAGGCAATTACATTCTGCTGTGAGATTATTAAATTGGGGAGATACAAACATAATAAAATGGAGACATTTGTACAGAGTTGGAAATAAAATAAAAGTGGGTAGAAATAAAATCAATAGTCAAAGTTTCCCAAAGCCTACCCTCTAAGCTATTGTTATATTATAAAAATCAGGGCTAACTGTCTGCTAAGGAAGTTAGTGCTGGGAGGAGAAGGGAACGGAGAGAAACCCAGGGGGCAAAGGGAATGCAGCCTTCCCAGAGCTGCCACTTCCTTACTTATCTCAAGACGTGATGGGTGGTGGGAGCTGAGCTGAAGAATCTGGACAGTGCAGGCGCAATTCTTGACTTGGGCAACTCAAAAACAAAAACAAACAAACAAACAAAAAGTCAATCACTAGCCCTGAGGGCACTGGCCGCGCTTCCAGAACACCTGCTTTCCATTCCCAGCGCCTATGAAGTAGTTCACAGGGGATCAGATGATGCCCCCTTCTGGCCTCCACGGACACTGCATATATGTGATGCACAGATGTGCAATCGAAACAGACATAAAATAAAAAGTTAAAAAAAAAAGAAAAGACTGGGCGGTGGTGGCGCACGGCTTTAATCCCAGCCCTCAGAGGCAGAAGTAGGTGGATCTCTGTGGATTTGAGGCCAGCCTAGTCTACAGAGCGAGTTCCAGGACAGCCAGAGCTACACATAGAGTTACACATACACATTTTCGAGACAGGGTTTCTCTGAGACAGGATTTCTCTGTAGCTTTGGAGCCTGTCCTGGAACTCGCTCTGTAGATCAGGCTGGCCTCGAATTTACAGAGATCCGCCTGCCTCTGCCTCCCGAGTGCTGGGATTAAAGCTATGCGCCACAACCGCCCGGCCCAAAAAATAAAATAAAATAAAATAAAATAAAATTGAAAGGTGGGTGACCTGCAGACGAAATAAGGGGGGCGGCGGGTGAAGGAGAGAGGAAGAGAGGATGAAGAGGGAGGTTAGGAGTAGAGCACGCAGCCAGGGTGTCCATTACTTTAAAAAACTGAACTACTAATCTGAACCACAAGAGGGCAGGGCTGCTGAAATGGAAAGTATGAACGCATATATACTTCTTGGCCCTTTGCAGACACTGTACTCAATTTCCTCTGTTGGGCGGGTTTAACCGCCCGGAAGCGGAAGTCTCGTTCTTTTTCCGTTCTTTTCGGTTCTCGCCGCTGTGAGTCTTTGGGGTAGTCAGGGAAGGGGGTTAAATCCGAGGTAATCCGCCGCCGGGTAGGGTTTGGGGAGCTCGGGTCTGCGGGGAGCGCGCGAGGGAGGAGGAGGGAGTGCGGCGGAGCGGGGTGGGGAGGCAGGCTCGCAGCCGGTTAACGTGAGGACTGCTCCCCACAGGTACGGTCTCCAGCGCCGAGCGCCCGTCGCCATGGTAAGTCCGGGACCAGGGACCCGGGCGGACTTGAGCGTCCCCAGAATGCTGCTGTCCCCCGAGCTCACTCTCTTTCTCTTGTGTTGCAGCCTCGGAAAATTGAGGAAATCAAGGACTTCCTGCTCACGGCCCGGCGAAAGGATGCCAAATGTAAGTAGGTTTCCAGAAGGTTAGGGATGGAGGGGGCGGGGGGATCGGACGTCTCTAGAAAGCAGATTCTGCCGGTAAAGCATGGGGATGCTTAAGGTCGGCACCGCCTGTTCTGCACGGTGGACTAACTACACACGTGATCTCAGCGCGCGCTCTCTTTAAGTACCTTGCCGGACTCACGAGGTAGAGGTAAGAGGATACCTGTGAGTTAGAGGCCAGCCAGGGCTGCCTACTGAGGCTTTGACCCAAAAGAGAAGCGTCATCCACGTGTAACAGCCCCCCCAGTTTTCAAATAAAGGGGAAAGGTAATGAATCGGAAGCTTGAGCCAGTGTAAAGTGGTCCGTGCCAGTACAATCTCAGGAGGCAGAGGTCAGAGGATTGAGTATCTACGACCATGCTTAGCCTACGTGGAGGGATCCAAAGTCGGGGATGGGGGCGTAGTGGACGGCTAGTCCAGCGTGCAGGAAGCTAGACTGCGTGCGCAGGCGCTTGGGAGGCAGAGATTAAAGGACGGGAAAATTCAAGGTTCTCCAAGGCTACATTGTCTCAAAAAACGGGTAACTGAAGTAAGCAGTTTGTCAGCTCCTGCTGGTCTTGTATTGTTCTTTTATACACGAGGAGGGGATTACCCCGGATTTGAAGGATGTTTAGGAGGATGTGTCTAATAAAAGATCCTGGGTGGCATTATCTCACATAACAGGAAGAAAGGAGTATTTTTCTGCTGTGTGTGATAACCCCATGTGGCTTCCTTTTCCTCAGATGTAACTTTAAAAGATCCAGATCGGCAATGGAAGCGGAACAGTTGAGCTGTTCTCTTAGGTTGGACAGGAAGAGCCTTTGAATGAGCTGTAGGGATCTTAGGTGTTCCCTCTTATTTCAAACAGTCTGTTGCCTTTGATGTGGCGCTGTGTGGGCTGGTGACCACCAGTCCTTCCCACTGGTGGGAAGGATGTCTCCCGCTGGGAATCAGGCGGTGTTTGCTTGTGTTTTCCATCTGGACACTACCTTCTGTGCCCCGGCTCTGTCGAAGGCGATGTTGTTTTCCTTCCGTGAGCATAGGACCAGGTTTGAGGTTGTGCTACTGGGCTGCTGAGGACATCTCAGACACATCGTGTTAAGAAATTGAATTAAGTGTATTTGTTTAGAGGTGGGTTTTGTGTTTAGAAACAGCCTGAGTGCTCACTTTGTAGCTCAGGCTGACCTCAGATCTAGAACTCGGTGATCCTTTCTCAGCCTCACAGGTGTGAGGATTTGTTACGTTCACGTTTGCAGTTCTCTTTATTGCATATGTATGCACTGGTGGAGGTCAGAAGACAACTTGCAGGAGTTGGTTCCCCTACTGGGTGGGTCTCAGGAACTAAACTCAAGCCCCTGGATTTGGCAGCAGGTACTTTTATCCACTCAACTGTCTCCCTGGCTTCTGTCCTGTGAGCTTGACCTGCCTCTGGCTCCCAAGTATTGGTATACAGATCAGCATTCCCACTGTGGGGGTACCACACTGAGTTCATTGACATGGGGATTCTTTTGCGTATTTTCAGCCTGGTTCTGCATTTATTTCTTTTGGGTATTGACCCAGAAGTGGAGTTGCTATATCATGCATGGTATGGCTGGCCTTAAAGTAGTGCTGGGAGCCAGAGGGTATGCAAGCATCTACTTAGCACTCCTGAGGCCCTGGGTTCATTTCCCAGCACTGGCTTAATGACATGGTCAAGCACCCCTGTAACTTCAGCACTTTTGGTGGAGGCAGAAGGATCAGGAACATTTCAAGGTTCTCCTCGGCCACACAGCGAATTCAGGATCTGCCCAACTACATGAGACCCTGTCTAAAGAACTCGGTCACATCCAGAAATACTGTTTGACTTAAATTTCAGGGCTGTGGTAACTGCCAGAGGCAGTGCGGCACAGAATGATGTGGTCCTGGTGTCTGGACCCGGTATAAAAGTCTGCGTAGCTAGTGCCTTGAGCAGGCTCTGAGCCCCAGTGCTTCCTGTGAAGTGCCCTGTCCCCGAAGCAGTTACTGACAGGTGGAGTTGAGAATACACGCTAATCCTGTGCCCCTAGTCTTTCATGCATGAGGCACTTCATGGCTTTTATAGCGGGGAGTTGTGGGTAGTATAAGAAAGGTTTGCAAGGAACTTGGAGCCAGGGATTTGACAAGTACCCAGAATGGCCCACTCCCTCTAGGGAGTAGATGTGTGCTGTGAGTTTGGAAATGTCTCCACTTTGGAACACAAACAGTATGGTTTGGATTTGAGGTGCACCTGGAACTTGTCTGAGCTGGAGTCACAAGATTATTGTGCAGTACAGGACCAGGAAACTGGGACTGGAGAGATGGATTAAGAGTTAAGAGCCCCGACCAAGTAATGGTACATGCTTTTAATCCCAATAGAGGCAGGAGACATCTGAAGATCACTGAATTCCAGGACAAAGAAATGGGGGGGGGGGCTGATGGCCCTTGATGTTCTTGCAGAGTTTGGCTCCCAGCATCCTCGGACTCCAGGCACCTGCATTCGCATGCCCATGCCTTACACAGATATACACACACATTTACACATAGCTACAAAGTTCATAAGGGTTGGGGGGCGGGTAGTTAGAGACAGGGTTTCTCTGAGGAACCCTTCCTGTCTTGGAATTTGTTCTGTAGACCAGGTTAGCCTCAAACTCAGAGATCCACCTTCCTCTGCCTCCTGAGTGCTGGAATTTTTTTAAGAGCCGCATTCCACAAAAATTCAGGAGAAACTTCCCTGCACACTGAAAGAGAGAAGGGGCTCTGCGTGTCCAGAGTATTCTTGTGTGCAGAGTGCTTGGTTTCCAGGAGTGGAGTGCTAGAAAGGTGTTAATCCCAGCAGATAACCCCTTTGCCTCCTTTACAGATGTCCCTTTAAAGGGTTGTCGTAGGTCATTTTAGAGTGTTCTGGGGTGCTGTGTTTAGGGTGCCAAGTGTAGTTTTTTTAAGTATTTATTTATTATGTGTACAATATTCTGCCTGTATGTATGCCTGCAGGCCAGAAGAGGGCACCAGACCCCTTTACAGATGGTTTGAGCCATCATGTGGTTGCTGGGAATTGAACTCAGGACCTTTGGAAGAACAGGCAGTGCTCTTAACCTCTGAGCCATCTCTCCAGCCCCCCAAGTGTAGATTTTGTGTGCATGCACAAATGAGTTGAGTAAGCCCCAAGACCCATTAAGTATATATGGAGGGAAATATAGCTTTCCAGTATGGTCAGCGTTTGAAGGCAGGGGGAGAGAGTGAGGAGGTGGGAGCTTGTTCAGCTGTCTGGCCAGTTGTGGCCACTCGTTCTGTACCACTGGCAGAAATTTAAAGCTTATGACTGGTGTGGTTCTCTACTGGTTCTTTTTTAAGATGTATTTATTATGTATGCCTACACGGCAGAGAACACCACATCTCATTACAGATGGTAAAAGCCGCCATGCTTTGTAGTTGGAAATTGAACTCAGGACCTCTGGAAGAGTAGCCAATGCCCTTAACTGCTGAACCATCTCTCCAGGCCCTCGGCTTCATCCTTAATTCTGATCTCTTTGCAGCTGTCAAGATCAAGAAGAACAAGGATAATGTGAAGTTCAAGGTTCGCTGCAGCAGGTACCTTTACACCCTGGTCATCACAGACAAGGAGAAAGCCGAGAAGTTGAAACAGTCCCTGCCCCCTGGTAAGTAAGCCTGAGACAGTGGTTGGTGAAGGTGGCCAGGTGAGAGCCACTTTGTGGGAGGTATTTGTCTTCACTGTGATCGGTGCTGGGGCATGGTTGTGATTCTTAGGTTCTGTCTGATCCCCAAAATAGCTTCCTTGGCCCTAGGCAGTTTATAGTTGATTTAATCCTCACAGGACCATACTCGGGGATAATCCCGAGTTTGCAGAGGGAGGAGCCTGTGGAATGCAGTGGGCGAGGTCTGCGGGGACCGTTCGTGTCAACCATCTTTCTTTCTTTCCCCAGGCTTGGCAGTAAAGGAGCTGAAATGAAGCAGACCTCTGTGTTTGACTATTAAAAACTCTAAAAGATCGTATGTGTCCTCAGTCTTTAATGGGAAGTGATGCTGCTGGGGTGGAAGGCAGTTTGTGCTCCCAGGGCTGGAAGTGGTCTGTGGGGTGGGTCACCTGCGCTGCCCATCCTCCTTGGACATCCGTCCTTGGAATATCCTCTGGGTGCTCAGGAAAGAAGCATTCCTGGGGAGGGGGCAAGATTAGTGGGGTGAATGCAGGACAGAATCAGGGGTGTCTACCATGAACAGCCTGGGAGTAGGAAGAAGTGGGGCTCCAATGCCTCTGGGCATTGCATTGTACATGTGCACATACATATATGCAAGCAAAATGACACATAATTTTTTTTTTTAGTAAGTAGACAAATTTTCAAGAATTGTCAAAAAATAAGGCAAAGTTAACTGTTCCTGTCCAGCCTTGAACCACACTGGGTTCACCACCAGGTGGCACCCTACTACAGTATTGTGAATGAGCCACATAAGTAGTGGTGGGGGCTGTTGGAGATAAGATCCCAGACTGGCTTAAATCCATCCTCCTGCCTCCACCTGAGTGCAGGGCCTGTAGGTACGGTGAGTGCCTACGGTTGTCAGCTGTTTCTCTGCTCTTAGGCAGTGTAGTGCAGCAGAGGGTTGTTGAATACTTAAACAAGCAGGTTGTAGCTAGAAGTGAGACGTGCATGCTGGAGATTGTTGCACGAGCTGTGAGCTCATGGAAGATGGTTTTGTTTATCCCAGGAGTGGGTGGGATGGGCTAGAACCCACGGTGTTAACAGATTCTAGGACAGTTTACAGCATTGGCTTTTTTGTTTGTTTCCAGCATATTTCTCAAAGACTCCCTGGCTCCTAGGAGACTGACAGGATTTGTCTGGCATTGTCCACTGAAGGCGCCTTTTCATGCCGTGCCTCCTACCCTGGCAAGCCTGAATCACGTAGGGTACTTCTGTGGTCCAGGCTGGCTCTAGAGACTCAATAATGTCTTTGTGCCCTCAGGTGGCAGGGCACCCTGCTAAGGTTCCAGCTGGTGTTTGTCAGTGTAGGGCGCACTGAGCTCTGCAATGGTTGACTGCTGGTTGGCTGCCCCTCTGCCTCGTATACCGGGAGCAGCTAGAGTGCTCAGCGGACTCTGGTCTCCCGAGGAGACGCTCAGAACTTTGCTGTTGCAGTGCAGATCCTCTGACTCTGCACCAGGTTCAAAATCACAAAAGTTACTACTTGGGGACATGAACGGTTTTATCCTGGGGTCACTGAGGACAGGTATGCAGGACACTGGGCATCACCTCCGGATCTTCTGACTGAAGGGCTGGCAGTATCAGGTTCAGAGGCCGAGGGCATATTTGCTCCTTGCTTGCTTCAACCAGCCTCACTCCCCCTCCATTCCCTTTTCTCTACCCCTTATTGCATTATTTTTTATTTGGAACGGGGTAAAAGTTTTCTCTTGAGGCCCTCCCACATTGCCTGGGCTGCCTTGAGCTTGTGACCCTCCACTTCCTGAGTGCTGCAATCTCAGGCTCGTGGGCATAGGTCACCATGCCAGCTGTTTTTCTCTGTGTAATTTACATGTATCAGAATACACTTGAGATCTCAGTACCTGGAAAACAAGCAGGATTGCCAGCCTGGGCTACCTAACAAGACCCTGTCTTAATAGAAAAAGGGAGCCAGCTGTGCACACCTTTAATCCCAGTACTCAAGAGTCAGGCAGATGAGTTTGAGGTCAGCCTGATCTACAGAGTGAGTTCTGGCAATGTCATGACTGTTACTGAGAAACCCTCGAGGTAGGGGTAGCAGGGATAAAGATGGGAAGAAAGACCCTTCTGGGTGTAGTCTACGAATCTTGGTTTTTTTCAAGACAGGGTTTCTCTGTAGCTTTGATGCCTGTCCTGGAACTAGCTTTTGTAGACCAGGCTGGCCTCACTCACGAGATCCACCTGCTTTTGCCTCCTGAGTGTTGGGATTAAAGGCGTATGCCACCACCACCCGGTGATCTTTGAATCTTAACCGCTGCTCAGTCGCACAGAATATTTCCATCAGCTCCCCTGGGAAGCAGCCACAGCTGCTCAGCCCTTTCTCTCCTGCCCACTGGTCCCTGATCCCACAAGATTCCCATCTGCCACTCAGAATCCACCTGAGACACTAGTAACTCCCCTCGTCACCTCATCTCACTTAGTCCCCTCAGGAGGCATCCCCAAATATGCCAATGTAGGGCTCTGAAACACAGGACAGATATGCAGGACACTGGGCAGCACCTCTGGATCTTCTGAAGGGCTGACTGTATCAGGTTCAGAGGCCGAGGGCATATTTGACCCTTGCTTGCTTCAACCAGCCTCACCTCCCCTCCATTCCCTTTTCTCTACTCCTTACTGCATTATTTTTTATTTGGGACAGGGTAAAGAGGTGTAAAACCTCCCCTGCTGGGTACTGGAGAGATGGCTCAGGTTAAGCAATTCCCAGCAACCACATGGTGGTTTACAGTCATCTTTAATGAGATCTGATGCCCTCTTCTGGCCTGCATGCATACATGCAAGCAGGACACTGCATAATAAATAAATCTTTAACCAGGTTCAGCAACTACAAGATGGAGTGATGGTGAGGAGAGAGAGGCCCCAGTGGCTGGGCAGAGCAGGACAGAGCAAGGGCATCTGTTCTCTGTTAATGGTCCTCAAGAATTTAGGTGCAAAATAGGGTTAAACACGCACTGATACAGAACGAGTTAGACATCATGGCTGATCAGGCTGCCTTTGGCGGTTGTTCTGCCCAGCGGTGAAGATCAAGCCGCCCACACCACTCCAACCAGTGTGGGAGCCAGAGAGTGGGACCCTTTCCCTCAGTCTTTAAACTGCCACATCCACAGACAAGACCAGGCCGTAGGGTTCGTAATCCCCAAAAGCCTCTGACTAAAGGGATGGAGATCCCACGACTGTTCTCCCACCAGCAGTACATGTGTCCCTCACCATTTCCAGGACACTAGCAGCACCTAGTGGGCTCTCCAAGCTAGATCTCTGAGGTCCCCTCTGCCTACAGCACCAGGTGTCCTCCCGCTGACTACCCAGCACTGTGTCCCGCTGACCCTTACCTGCCCACTACCTGCCTCTTGCCCCAGATCCTTGCACTGGTCACCCAGTGCTTGGGCCGGGAGCTCTGCACTTTTCTCGAGGCAGGGTTTCTCTGTACTGCAGCTTTGGAGCCTGTCCTGGAACTAGCTCTTGTAGACCAGGCTGGCCTCAGAGATCCGCCCGCCTCTGCCTCCCAGTGCTGGGATTAAAGGCGTGTGCCAGATTCTAACCAAAGGGTTCTAACCCCAACTGCAATAAACAATCTGGATGTGGATGGCACACACCTTTAATCCCAGGCAGAGGCCTTTGATTACAAGGTCAGCCTAGTCTCTAGTTCCAGGGCAGCCAGCACTACATAGTGAGACGTGGTCTAGGAAAGAGAAGATAATGGAAGGACGAATTTAGGACTAACCCAGCCTCCTAGGCCAAAATTACTAATTATGTGTCCACTGGCCACTTTGTGGTCTCTTTTCTTTCTTTCTTTCTTTCTTTTTTTTTTTTTTAAAGATAGGGCTCACATAGCCTAGGCTGGCCTTCAACTCACTACCAACCTGAGGATGACCTTTGAACTCATGGTCTTTTTGCCTTCCCATCGTAAGGCATACACTATCAAATGTCCACAATCTTGCTGTGATAGAAAGGCATCACAGTTTAAGGACTGACATTCACTTCTCTTCACACCTTTTCGCCCATCGGATCAGTGGACGCTTTGGGGTCTAATTTCTGGAGGTGGTGGGTGGGTGCAGGAAGGGGTCCTGAAAGGGAGACCGGCCAGGGCTTAGGGTAAGAGCCTTGTGCAGGGCGGGGCGTGTCCTAGCCTCGGGCTGGACTTGGGGCGGAGCCGAGGCGGGGCGGGTTCCGCTCGCGTCCTGTGCCTGGCGGTAGTAGCGGCCGTGGCATTTGCGGCGGACCGGCTGCAGCTTGTCCAAGCCATGCCGGCGGCGCGCGTGGAGTACATCGCGCCCTGGTGGGTTGTGTGGCTTCACAGCGTCCCTCACCTCAACCTGCGCCTGCAGCGGGTGGACAGCACCTTCAGTCCCGGCGACGAGACTTACCAGGAGGTAAGTCCACGCGTCGCAGATCTGAGCCACTTTTGAAAGGGACCCTCAGAGAGGGAGCCAGAGCTGGTCTGGTCGCGCCCAGGTTCCTGATTCAACCTCTCTTGCCTCAGCAACCCGCGTCTCCGCGTTTCTCGGACCCCAGTTTAGTGCCCTCCGCTCTGCCGAAACCCTTGTCTGGAACGCTAGTCCTGGCTGGGAACCTCGGGGTTCGGAGAGCTGGAAAGATGGGAGTTAGAGTGCCCAGAGGAAGAGAGGAAAGACGCGGAGGCTGCGCCCAGGAGGCGGGGGCTGAGCCACCCGGAGACTGACGATGGGGGTGGGGCATCTGAGTCAGGGTGACTGGCGGCCGAGGTGGGTGAGAAGGGGTTCCCCGAAGTTCCCCTCCGAAGACTACAATATCAGACGCTTCTTCTCCGGGTCCTGACGGCCTGAGAGAAGTTTAGACAGAAACAGACTTGAGCGTCCAGAGTCCTTAGTGCTCCTTTCCCCAGCCCCAGCTGCCAATACCTCTGCCTCTTCCCTTCTCAAAGGCAGCGGGATTGAGAGGTGACTAACCTCTTGGACGCCAAGAACCCAAAGCTGTTTGAGTCAAGGAAAGAAGGTGGCTTCTCCTCGTCTCAGACATCCTGCAACTGTCCTGTCTGTCCTGGCATCCCTACACCCTCTAGGCTCTGAAATTCCAAGGTCCTGGTTCCTGTGCCAGCTACACTCTGTACTTCTGAGTTGTCCCTGATAAACAGGGCCTTCCCGCTGCGGGTTTGGTGGGCAGGTACAGGCTTCTGATCCCCCTTCCAGACCCAGCTACAGTCTCTCAGCCCGTCTCAGCCGCGGTCAAACCCACAGCGGCCCCGGCTGAGTCAGTTCCCTCACTAGGTCAAAGATTCAGGGGTTGGGGCAACCTGGGAAGAGGGCCATTATCAGTTCAGAGCTCTGTGCCCATGTCGGACTTTGACCTCTACCAGCAGTGGCAAGGCACCATCTCCTGATCGCCGTTGTGGGGCAGTCTGACCGAGCAGAGCCTCTCTAGCCAGTACCCAGGAGTGGCTTATTTGCCCTCCCAGACAGTCCTCATTCTGAGGCCAGGGGCTCCTGATCCCCGTGCTATGCACTGCCCACGAGCCAGTACCAGAGAGTCTAATTATAACTTTCAATGACCCTGCTGCTTGCAGGCTTGGGCAGTCAACACCTGCTCTTCTGGGAGGATGGAACCCCTTTGTGTTGTTGGGGTTGGGTACTGTCACCCCCAGGCAATGCAGCACTATACGACCCCCCAACCCCCGCCCCCCCACCCTTCTCCCCCAGCCCCCCTCCCACAAACATCTTGTCTGGTCCTGGAAGGAAGGCGTGTTCCCTGCGGACCAGTGTCTACCGGCCCAGCTCCAGGGAGTCTTCCTTCAGCCAGGGTTTGAAAAGAGACGGATATGGTTTCCAAACAGCAGCTGTGATGGGGGTGTGGAGAGATCCCAGAGACTGTGCTCTGGGTCCCAATCATAGTTTTCTCCTCTCTCCTTGAAGAAATCTAGCCCCTTAGTTGGGTCAAGGAGACCTGTATGGTGTGGGTGCTCGGTCACCCCCCCACAGCCCAAGCCTGACTCCACCCACCCCCAGTCTATGGCTAGATGGCAGCTATACTGGTGAGTCCCAGTCCCTAAGCCCCAAACCTTTGTTTTTTTTTTCTTTTGCATGACCACTGTACCTACCCCTGCTTCCATCCTGGTCCAGCAATGAGTGGAAGTAAAACCCTGTGAGATGGCTGTGGTGGGCCGTCATGAAAGTCTAGCATGGGGTGTTATTTAAGGCCACTCCTATTTTGATAGGTTCTCTTGTTGTCTGACCATAGGTCTCTTTCGTACTGAGCCCTGGAGTCAGGCAGCTGATGAACTCGCAGTGTAGACTGGGTGCCTTCTAGCGTAAGTAAGTCATCTTGATGCTCAGCAAACTTAATTTGAGGCTGAGTGTTGTGCCAGGGCCTGGGAGATGGATAAGCAGGGCAGCAGTGACTGAGGCATCTCTGAAGCCAACATAGTTTGAGGCAGGGGCATTGCCATTCCACTGGTTGGGTGGGATTCCAGTTCTATGGCTGTGTGAGCACAGGCAGATGAGATTTCCCCTCTCACCTGCATGTAATCCCATGAGTTACTCTACAGAGCACGCACAGTGCAGGCATTTGCACAGGACATAGCCAGACCCAGTGATGCAATCATTAGACAAACGGTCTTGACATGATGTCTGTCTAAGGACTGTGCCCTATAAAATGGAGAAGAGGAGAACCAAAGGCCCTGAGCAGGGGAGACTGGAAAATGCATGGGAAAGTCACAATGTGGACTTTAGGATCTGTGTGTGTGTGCATGTGTGTATTCACACACGTGTGTTGCTAGGCTGGAAATAGGCAGTTAGGCTCCAGGAATGACTCTGTGTGCTGGGACCGAGCAAGGAAACTAGAGCATAGAGGAGCAGACCTCCTTATGAGCAGGGCCACTTGGTAAGCACGTTCTGTGATCCAGAACTTCCCTGAGAAAGAAGGGCTCTGATTGCTTCCTGGGATTTTTTTTTTCCTGACTAGCAGAGGTGAGAAGAGGGGAGTAGATGCCCTGGAACTGGAGTTACAGAGGAGATGGGAGACCCCCTGTAGGTGATGGAAACTGAACCCCTGCCCTCTACAAGAGCAACCAGTGCTCTTAATTGCAGAGCCATCTTGCCCTCTCTTGATTGATTGATTGATTGATTGATTGATTGGAGATAGGGTTTTATGTAGTTCAGACTTGCCTTGAGTTCACCACATAGCAAGGATGATATTGAACTTCTGATACTCTTGCCTCTCTACCTCCTCAGTGCTGGAATTACAGGTCTGTGTCACCATTCCCTGTTAATGGAGTGCTGGGGTTGGAACCCAAGGTTTCCCACGTGCTAGGGAAGCACGTTACATCCCCACTCGCTCCTCCCATTTATTTATTTATTTATTTATTTATTATTTTTGAGGCGAGTGTCCCAATGTAGTTGAGGCTAGCTTCCAGCTGGTAATCCATCTGCCTCCCACCCTAAGATCTGGAATTACAGTTGTGTGTTACCACTCCTGGCTTCTGCCTGGGGACTTTGGGCACCCTAGAAGTCCCTATTCTAATATGCTAATCCTCCTCATCTTCTCCATCAAGGACCGGCCTCGACGTAAATACTTCTTACCAGGGTAGAGCCATGGGAATTGAAGAAATATAAGAATACGAAGACACATAAAACAATAAGACAGAAACCATAAGACAGTACCAGAGGGGTATTACAGGGATTATTGATCTCCTGAAATCACCTGCATTTATTTTACCACAGCTTTTATACCCAATGTCAAGGGGGGGAGGGGAAAGGTAACAAAAGACTTTATTAACATGACACAAAAGGTAACTCACACAGTCAATGGCCTTATCACTCTGAGACATCAAATCCTTAGCATTCTGTCTCTAGGTAGCTAAGGAGCTCTAGGTCACATATGCTGAAGACCATCCTTCCCTAGGTGACCTCATAGTTACAAAAGGAGGAGCAGAAGTGCATTTGCATATCCTGACCACCCCTCATGATGGTATTGGTTTTTTTTTTATTTTTTTATTTTTTTTTGGTTTTTGAGACAGGGTTTCTCAGTAGTTTTGGAGCCTGGCCTGGGACTAGCTCTTGTAGACCAGGCTGGCCTAGAACTCACAGAGATCAGCCTGTCTCTGCCTCTGAGTGCTGGGATTAAAAGTGTGCGCCACCACTGCCTGGCACGTTGAGCTATCTTAATTTCGAAAGAGCCAGGTAACCACCTCCAAAGTTAGGAGGTGCGATTATGCCTGTCAGTCTCCAAATTCTCTAACCAGCAGACAAGGTGGAAATGGGCCTACATTTTTTTTGGCCTCTACAATTCCTCTTTTTTATTAATTTTAATAAAGCCTGTGCTTCTGCAACAGGACAGATGATCATATCCGCCTCAGGTGACCACTTCCCCATTTCCCAGACACGCCCTTCTTTGAAACACGCATCCATGTCCTAGGTGCCTGAGAGGGGGGGATCAGACCCATCACTGACTGCCGACCTCTGTAAGCATGGGATTAAAGGAGAAAAATACTTTTGGGCTCTGTGTCTCTGAGACAATTTTTTGTCAAGAGAGTTCATCTGCAATTAGGTAGTGTTTTGTGAATAATCATGCTACTAATAACTGCAGTCTCCTAATTAAAGGAGAGGGGGATCATCAGGGTTGGGAATGTCCTTTCCAGTTGGTCTGGAGAAGTGGTGGTGCACGCCTTTAATCCCAGCACTTGGGAGGCAGAGGCAGGTGGATCTCTGTGAGTTCAAGGCCAGCCTGGTCAACAAGAGCTAGTTCCAGGACAGGCTCCAAAGCTACAAAGAAACCTTGTCTCAAAAAGGTTTGAGACAAACCTACAAAAAAAAAAGTCTAAATTTCTTACCAAACATGTCAAATCCAAGTGCTCATAGGAAATGTCAAAACTTTTCTTAACTTCTTATGGGGAACTAAAGTAGCCACAAACATTAACCGGTCAATACCATAATTCTAGAATGGAAATTAACAATAAACCCACAATTTGTCATATCACAATTCTCTTAAATCCATTGTAATCAAAAAACAAGAAAAGTTTTTCTGATGGGTGAGAGTCCAGCGGCATTGCTGCTTTTAAGTAATTGTCTAGTCTCTGAGCAGCAGCAACACCCTTAGCCCTTAGGCCACCCTCCTCATACTGAAGAGGACTTCCCACTCCTTGTAATGAGTCCCTTTTCCTCTGAGGGGAAAGTTTAGGTCTCAGTTCTCAGGTCCAGTATTTCAACAGCTGATGGAATACCACACTGTCAAAATGAGTTCTGTGTCCCAAACAGTGAACAATCAAATGTTCAGTCTGTGTTTCTGGTCCAGCTCCACGGTAAACAGGACTCACTAGGTCCGGAAGTCTGCGTAGCAAGTCCATCAAGAGGCTGGAAATCACCAGTCATCACCACGATCTTCTCTCCCTTGTCAGACTGCA